ATCAGGATCCGCCGGCCCCCTTGTGGGGCCACCAGGCTGTAGGCCAGTGATTCGCAGTTTCCTGTACCAGTCGTAGGTTGTAGTTTCCAGTGTTACAGTTCTGCTTCTTGCTGGTTACTGTAACTAGTTGACTTATTGCTGGCTACTGTAACTACTTGATTGACCACGCGAGGGGGGGGGAGGCCCAAAGTGGCTTTTTAGCGTCCCCTGGGCGCGTTGTCTGAATTGCTGGGGGGACTCGAAATCGACACCCCTCACGCAGATCCGCGGGGTCAGGGTCCAAAAACACATGGGATTTGCCACATTTCTGAAATTCGGTGCCACCCCTCACGCAGATCCGCGGGGTCAGGGTCCAAAAACACAGGGGATTTGCCACATTTCTGAAATTCGGTGCCACCCCTCACGCAGATCCGCGGGGTCAGGGTCCAAAAACACAGGGGATTTGCCACATTTCTGAAATTCGGTGCCACCCCTCACGCAGATCCGCGGGGTCAGGGTCCAAAAACACAGGGGATTTGCCACATTTCTGAAATTCGGTGCCACCCCTCACGCAGATCCGCGGGGTCAGGGTCCAAAAACACATGGGATTTGCCACATTTCTGAAATTCGGTGCCACCCCTCACGCAGATCCGCGGGGTCAGGGTCCAAAAACACATGGGATTTGCCACATTTCTGAAATTCGGTGCCACCCCTCACGCAGATCCGCGGGGTCAGGGTCCAAAAACACATGGGATTTGCCACATTTCTGAAATTCGGTGCCACCCCTCACGCAGATCCGCGGGGTCAGGGTCCAAAAACACATGGGATTTGCCACATTTCTGAAATTCGGTGCCACCCCTCACGCAGATCCGCGGGGTCAGGGTCCAAAAACACATGGGATTTGCCACATTTCTGAAATTCGGTGCCACCCCTCACGCAGATCCGCGGGGTCAGGGTCCAAAAACACATGGGATTTGCCACATTTCTGAAATTCGGTGCCACCCCTCACGCAGATCCGCGGGGTCAGGGTCCAAAAACACAGGGATTTGCCACATTTCTGAAATTCGGTGCCACCCTTCACGCACATCCATCGCAAGGCGTGGTAACCCAAACTGCGAGAACTCCCTCGGCCCTTTAATCGCAAGGTGTGGTAACCAAGCCCGTAAACCATACACGTCTTACCAATCGCCAGGTGTGGTAACCCCTCTTGTGATCAGTTGGTTTTGCTGATTGCGAATCGGCTTCGCATGAAGTTTCGATACTGCTTCACGACAGCGCCAAGGCCTCATGACTTAGCTCTTCCATGGCCCATTCTCCGAGAGAGGGGGCCGGCGGCAGGGGGCGAAGCCCTTACGGATAATCAGAATCATCATCACCATCATCAGCATGATATTCATCATCAGCTGCATCATCACCACCACCATCATCCTCATCATCAGCATCGTCGTAGTCGTCATCAGCATCATCGTCAGCATCACATTTACCTGCAGCATTAACACCATCATCATCATCAGAAGCAGCATCATGGTCATCATGACCATCAGCATCAACAACAACATCATCATCGCCATCATCCAATTAGCCTGGCGGAGGACCCGACCCTATGCAGCTGTGAGAACCGCAGTCGTGAGTCGCATCTTCGGTGGAGCTACCTATGGTCCCACGAGACGTGTGAGGGGTGTGCCGAAATGGGTGTGGCGGACGCATGTGGACTGTGCCACTAGGGCCTTCGGTGGAGCTCCCTATGGGGCAACGAGACGTGTGAGAGGTGTGCCGAAATGGGTGTGGCGGACGCATGTGGACGGTGCCTCTGGGGCCTTCGGTGGAAATCCCCATGGGGCCACGAAACGTGTGAGGGGTGTGCCGAAATGGGTGTGACGGCCTTGGGTGGAGCTCCCTGCGGGGCCACGGAGCGTTTGAGGGGTGTGCCGAAATGGGTGTGGCGGACGCATGTGGACGGTGCCACTGGGGCCTTGGGTGGAGCTCCCTATGGGGCCACGAAGCGTTTGAGGGGTGTGCCGAAATGGGTGTGACGCACGCATGTGGACGGCGCCACTGGGGCCTTCGGTGGAGCTCCATATGGGGCCACGAAACGTGCAAGCGGTGTGCCGACATGGGTGTGGCGCACGCATGTGGACGGTGCTACTGGGGCCTTGGGTGGAACTCCCTAGGGGGCCAAGAAGCGCGCGAGGGGTGTGCCGAAATGGGCGTGGCGGACGCACGTGGAAGGTGCCACGTAGGGCGTCTGGTGGAGCCCCCTATCGGGCCACGAAGCGTGTGAGAGGTGCGCCGAAACGGGTGTGGCGGGCGCATGTGGACGGTGCTACTGGGGCCTTGGGTGGAGCTCCCTATGGGGCCGCGACACGTCTGAGGAGGAGGGGGAGGAGGAGGAGGAGGAGGAGGAGGAGGAGGAGCACGAAGGAAGGAAAGACGTAAGGAAGGAACGCAGGTACAGTCACTTCAAACCGAGGGCCCAACACCAAAGGATTGTTGGAAAACAAACAATCAGCATCATCACCATCAGCAGCATCATCGTAAGCATCATCATCATCATCATCATCATCATCATCATCATCAATTTCATCATCAGTTTCATCAGGTTCATCATCATCATCATCATCATCATCATCAGCATCAGCATCATCCTCATAATCATCTCCATCATCATCACCATCATCATCACCATCGCCATCATCATCAGCACCTGCCTCATTGACATCATCATCATCAGCCGCATCATCACCACCATTCTCAACATCATCATCATCATCAACACATGCATCATAACCACCACCACCATCAACATCATCATCATCATCAGCATCATCATCATCAAACGCATCATCATCACCATCATCAGCATCATCGCCACCGCCACCATCATCGCCAGCATCAGCATCTGCATCGTCAGCTTTATCAGCGTCATCATCAGCACCACCATCATGATCATCATCAACATCAGTATCATCAGCATCCTCATCATCATGGTTATCATCAATATCATTAGCATCATAATCGCCACAATCGTGATCACCAGCATCAGCATCATGGATATAATCAAACGCAAACTCATTATAGTCACCATCAGCAGCATCATCATCAACAAACTCAGCATCATCAACATCATCAGCATTATCATAATCAGCATCATCATCGTCATCATCACCATCATCATCAACATCATCATCAGCATCATTACCATCTTCATTGTCATCGTCATCGTCATGGGCGCCGACACCATCATCATCATCATTGTCATCATACTCACCATGGTCGCCATCGTGATCGCAATCATCATCATCATCATCACCATCAGCATCGTTCCCATCGTTAAGAAACACGCAAACAACGTCATGTTCGTCATCGCCATCATCACCATCGTCATCATCACCATCTTCATCACCATCATCAGCATCATCATCATCATCTTTACCATCATCATTATCATCATCAGCAGCAGCAGCATCACCATCATCATCATCATCACCTCCATCATCAGTATCATCAGCATCATCATTATCATCTGTCCTCCGACTCATCCCCCGACCTGGGGCAGCACCACTCGGTTTTGGCAAGGCATCTGCTCTTGCTCTCGGCATCGTCATCCTCCCCATCCAAATGTCCTAATCCTTCCTCATCCCTCGTGTCCATCCTCCACTCCTCATGTTCCTTTGTCTCTTCCTCCTAGTCCTCCTCCTCCTCCTCATCATCTGCCTCATTTTCCATATCACCATCGTCCTCAACATCCCATTCCTACCTACCTGTCCCTTCGGAGGCGAACAAAGTTGTATCCTCGAACGTGCCTCTGGTATCGGGTCACTCGTGCCAAACATACACTGTGAGGCCTACGCCAGTGACTAATTGGGTGCGGGGGGGGGGGGGCACCAAGGCGCCAAATCGCCACCGTCAGAAGAACAGAACACCAACAACACATTTACACTTTTGAATGTCCGCGCGGATTTCTTGGACTGGCGCGGGAGCGGGAGCGCGCAAGGAGCGGCGCCAAGAGCGCCGTCCGGGGGGCCCACCGCAGAACCAAGAAACCCGTGCGGATCTCCGACCAACAATACTTTGGAGTCGCGCGGTGACAGACCGTGCGGTGACCTCGAAATGCCCCAGGACCTCACCGCACGGTCCGTCAGCGCACGGTTTGGGGACTCTGGAGGCTCCAGTCGCCCGAGACATCCTCGGAGGACGACCCGAGTCCCAAAACCGTGCGGTGACCCCGGATCCCCACCAACTCACCGCACAGCGTGGTCACCGCACCGTTTGGGGGCCCCCGAAATACTGGCGTGTCGCTCTCTCTCCTTCGAGCCTCGGCCCCTCGCAAAAATCGGAGGGCCGCGAGCCCAGCTGGCCCCGTCCGGAAGCGCCGCCGTCGTCCTCTCTGGCTCGCCTCGCCGCCGCCGCCGCCGCCGCCGCCTGCTCTCCATCCCTCGCTCGAGCTCCCCATCGATGCCCCGAGGACCGAGGAAGGCAGCACAAGTCCATAAACCTAGATCTACGACCCTTGGATGCAAGGCTACGGGCAATGTTTACTCCCCGTGTTCAGGATCTGCGCTTTGTTAATCAATTCTGGGCGGGGTGTTCGACATGTCGTCAACCCGCCAATTCTCTGCACGATTTCTCTTCATACACGTTTTGACATCGCACCATGCTAAACTGAAATGGTGGAAAGAACAACGCGCTTGCAAGAACAACTGAGTTCCTACCCTCTACTCCTCTGTCGAGCCACAAACTCCTCTGGAGGTCGACCAGGGGTCTGCAGAGGCCTCTGCAGATCTGGGAAGGTTTCGAGGGCACCTGAAATCTTGGTTATGGATCCTCGGTTAATTCGCCCTTCGACGCCACAATTGTGTCAACATGTAGCGCCTGGACCTCTCGACCCCTTCCCAGGGACATGTGTGTTCGCCCCTGATTGATTGCGGATGGCACCAAGGGTGCCCGAAGCGGGCTCCCGAAAAAAACGCCGGTATTAAGAACGCACGCGACATCGAAGTCTCCATCCCGTCCCTCAGGGCCTCCGCCTTGTCCAGCGGGAAGCCGTCGGAGAAGAAGCTGATGAGCACCTTTGTGCGCCGTCGGCGATCATCGCTGGCTCAAAAGGGCTCGACCCCCTCCCTGGGCCAGTCTGTCGCCCCGGGTACGTGTTTGACGGTCCTGGGGCCGAAGACGGGCCCCATGGGGCCGCAATCTGGGAGAACGCTGAGGTTGAGAAAATCAGATCGCCGGAGATGTGGGTCGGATGGGCTCGATGTGTACACCACGTTGCTTGGTCGGCCAGCGTGCCAGTCATTTCCACTGGCGAATTCGGTGCACAGGCGGCCCAGCGACCCACAGGTTAGGAAGCTGGGGCGTCTACACACCGAGCTCCTGAGCGAATCAGGTCGAGCCCCTCTCACCGGGGCAAGAGGAAGAACAAATGGTACAAACACATCAACTTTGGGAGATCCGCGCAAATTTCTTGGATATGCTGGCGCGCGGAGCGCGCCAGCGGTGGTCCTGGAGGCGCCGCCAAGGGGGCTCAGCGCGGGTCCAAGAGACCCGCGCGGATCTCAAACAGTTATGTGTTTATGCAGCTGTTTCTTTTTCGAGCGTCACTAGTCGTTACTTGGCGGTGCGCGCAAGGGGGTGGAGGGAGGGGGGAGGGCTTCTTAGGAGGCTGCTTCTTAGAAGGCGCCAGCCTTACATCTATAGATAAGGCCCGCAGGGGTGCTTCTAAGAAGCCCTCCCCCCTCCCCCACCCCCTCTGCGCGTGGCTGAACTACATGTCATTGCAACTGCCTCCTCTGATCTTCGGCCTGGGTCGTCGCAACGTCCGGCGCGGCGGCGCAGGGGGGGCGGCCCGGCGCATCTACCGTCGACAACGGGTCACTGTCGTGGCCGTGACCGCTGTGGTCGCGGTCGTCGTCGCTGGGTCGCGGTCGTCGTCGCCGACGTTGCCGCCGTCGCCGTGTTGTTGGCCCCGACCGGCATCGTGGTCGTCGTCGCCTTCGGCCCGCAGATGGGGAGAGGGGGGAGGAGGGGAGATGGAGGAGTAGCGGAGGGCGAAGAGATGGAGCAGCTCCCCATGCCGTCGCCCTCCTTCCCCTACGGAGGCTGTTTGGGGGGTTCGGCGTTGCTTAATGGGGGGCGATGCACGGGGGAGGGGGGGCGAAGAAACATGCGCCTTTCATTCCCCTTTCGGACCCCAGGAGGCTCATTTAGGACCCCCTGGGGTGCACAAAAGGTGCATCCTTCTTCTTGAGACAAAGCCAGGACGAGGACAAATTCGGGAATTCGGGTGAGGACAAATCGAAAACCTCTTGGATCCGGCGGCTCTGGAGGATGTCTCGGGTGCCGCGGTCTTCCCAGAGCGTTCCAGAACGCTACGAGGGCGTTCCAGCATGCTCTGGAACGGATGCATCCTCGTCCTATCCCCGTCCGACGTCTTCGCCCCTCCTCCCCACTTAATTTGCGCACCCCCCCCCCCCCATTGGCGCAACGCCCGAGGGGCGCTCCCCTGGCCCTTGCCAGGTCATCTCCGTGGTGGTCTTCGCCGTCGCCGGCGCGGCGACGGCGACGGCGCTGCGCTGTGCCGCGTGGCGATGGGCGGAGGGGGCGGGACCCGGCGCCTCCACCGGGTGTGGCCACGCCTCCACGGGGTCCTCCAGGATGGTCTTCTCGGGGAAGGGCACCACCTCTGGCGAGGAGGGGGGGCGGCTGCAGCGAGGGGGAGGGAGGGGGGGGAGGAGGAGCAAGATGAGCAGGAGCTATTTCGTCAGCAGTTCGAGGTCGGAGACGTCCTTCCCCTGTCCTTCTCCTCCTCCTGCTCCTCCAGATCCTCCCTCCTCCCACCTCCCTCCTCCCGCCTCCATCCTCCTCCCCCCTCCTTCCCAGTTCCCCCTCCTCCTTCCCATTCGAAAAGAAGAACGAGAGGAGGTAGAAGGTCGAGGGGGAGGGGCCCGGAGGCGGAGGACGGTGCAAGCGCTGGGAAGGCGCGTTCAAGTGTCCCGAACACGCCCTGCAAAACGAAACCCATCACTTACTCCCTGGTCGGATGCTGACCCAGGCGCTCCAACCTAACGAGTCGAGGATTCCTATCCTGGCCCGTCTGCAAAGCAGACATACAGACGACAGAACACGAACGAAGGCTCCGACCTCGGCCATCGCATGGCCGAGGTCGGGATCTTCTGGAGTCTTGGTTCTCCTCCACCTCCTACCCATGCCCACTCCCCATTTCACCCCCGCCCTTCGTCGTCCGACGTCTAGTCCTACCTCCCTACGTAACTCACGCCGCACCCTGTCGACGGCGGCCACGACGGCAACGACAGTGGCGACACAAATAACAGCGAGGCTGATGACGACGACGGCGGCGACGACGACCACAAAGGCCATAACGACGACGGAGACGACTACGACGACGAACGACAAGGGCAGTCACGACGGCGGCAGCGGCGGCGACGTGGACGGAGTCGGACAGATCGACCGACAGGCGACGAGCGCTCCCCTCGGACAGGATCAGCCAATCATCATCGGATCGGGGGAGCGGTCGAATCAGCATGGGTGTCGGATTGGCCTGCAATGGAACAGAGCCGAAACCGGATTGGATGGGCCGCGCCAAAGTGCATAACAACGCCGTTTGAACAAACATCGGGCCGTATCCGATCGCTGGAAGTTCGTATGACTCATACGGGTCCTGAGGCAAACGGGTCCTGGACGTCAAGGACTTCCCCCGAGCAGCTTTTCGTCATGAGTCGTTTTCGGATCAACAATTTCGGGGCCCGTGGGGGCACGAGGAGGCAACAGCAACAGCGAAAACCTCAAGACACGTCTCCCTCAAGACCCCCTCCCCTAATGGCTAGGAAAACCCTCGTCGTCATCATGATCCTCATGATCCTCATCAGGGCTCTCCCAAGCCTAGGACAACAATGTGTCACACGTTCGGCCTCCCATGCCCCCTCCAACAGTCGTCACCCAATGATGCTGAGCAAGCACGCTGGCAGGACTTGGCAGGCAGCTGGATCGAGGAACAACAAGCTGCGTAAACATAGACGTTCCGAGAAACGTACGGATTCGCTGGATCGGCGCTGGACCCACCTAGCGGCGCCTCTGGTGCACTCCGCGCGCCAGGGAGGGGTGGGGTTCAGCGCCGATCCAGGCAAACCGCCCAGACCTTCGCAAGCTCTTGTGTATGCCGGTGCTTCTTATTCGATGATACGCACCTTCAGGAAAAAGCGGGTTGAGACACAAAGAAGGAATGCGCTGCAACCAGATTGGGTGCCCGCTCGCCCCCTGAGAAGCAAGGAAGAAGGCACACCGCTCGCCAAATAGAAACACACGGCGGCGGCGCCGGCGATTTATTATCATTTAACCGATCCCCATCCCCAGCGGCGTGGCCCGCCAAATAGAAACACACAGCGGCGGCGCCGTCGATTTATTGAGTATCGTTTAACCGATCCCCATCCCCAGCGGAGTGGCCCGGGCCCCACTGGCCGATTTACCCCCAGATGGGGATATGGGCCGTTCCCTTCGAGTTTCGAGGGGTGTATCCCCAACTGGGGTGGTAATTTGGTGGGGGTCTCGAAGGGGATGGGGATGGGGATGGGGATCGGTTAAACGATACTGATTCATTGGCGCCGACGCCCGGCCACCAGCGAGAGGGCGACAGCGCCTCCGCTGCAGAAGCGCCATGCGGGCGGCTGGCGCCTCGAACTCCCCGGTGCGGACCAGCAGCTCCAGGATGGCCTTCATGGGCTTCGAGGACGCCTCGCGGGGGCTGCCCCCCGCCAGAGGGGACGAGGCGCGGCGCCGGCGCGGGCCAGGCAATGAGTTTCGAGGGCGGAGGAGGACCGAGGAGGACCGAGGATCGGGGAGGCCAGAGGTCCGATGTCCTGATTGTTCGTGCTGCCGTAAGGCACGCCGAACAGGGAACGAAGGGGCTTTCCTGGCCACGGCGAGCCTGGGCCACGAGCAAGTTCCACTGCCCAGGTCTGAGGAAGGGCCCGGAAACCAGAGCCCCTCCCGAACCAGACGTGGTCCTTATTTCAGCGTCTTGACTGTGCGGGGTCCCCGGAAGTCTCGACCCTTTCCCCAGGGCCAGTTTTTCATCCCAAATAACTGTTTGACGGTCCCAAGCCCGGCGAGGGCCTCCAGAAACGGAAGGAGGCGAAAAGCCTCTGCCTCATCTTTTCCATACCTTCGATCTCGGGGAGGGGGTCGAGGAGGACCGAGGACCTAGAGCCCATGGTGTCTCATTTGCGACAACACTCTCTAGCGGCCCCGCCCCCTTCCTCTCTGGTAACCGCCCGATTTGCGCTGGCGCCGTCTTGGGACCAACCATTCCTGTTCCCAGACGGCGCCAGCGCGAAACATGACGCTACTGGTCCCCTCCCCAACGCTGGACACGCCCGTTATCGCCAGGGGATCCAACAAATACGCCAGAGAACAACCCTAATCAGTGAATGTATTCTTAGTGTCGCATGCGCTCCACGCCTGCCCTCTTTGTCTTTGTTTCTATATATATATATATATATATATATGTGTATGTGTATATATCTCTCTCTGTTGCAATGCTTCATCCACATATACACAAATTATGTGTGATTGATATGCCCTCACACATTGCTCTGCTCTCGAGTGCCTCATACCTGCTCCAAAACTGATGTACCTGTATATATGTTTACACAAACACACGGATATGCACATAACGTGTAATACATGTATCACTATTCATATTCCTCTCTATATATATATATATATGTCCTTCTCCCTCTATATCTCTCTACCCAGCTTCGCACTACGCATTCTGACATGTGCTCGCTAGAAACGCTGTATGCCATGTCACGTTGACCCCCTCCCCGCACGTTGCATTCTTACACACGATGATCGCAGTTGATATATGTGTCCACCTGTCACCTTAAGTCTCTCCTCCCCCCTCTCCACTCATATATTTATACACATATACATACCTATGTATATATATATATGTACATATGCATGCATGTACACGTATGTATATACACACGTATGCATACACGTGAATACATATGTATGTGAAACTGCGCACGGATGTATGCATACACGCATACATGTATGTGTGTATGCATGTGTTACTCCCGCGCCTGCTCAATACATATACATTTATATATACATACATATATATATATATACATCCTCAAGGGTCGCAGATGCTCTGTTCTCAAACCTCTGTTGTTTATCCTCTCTGCTGAGCTATGCGGTCTGCTCTCTGATCTGCTTTCCTCACGCTCTGCTCTGACCCTGGTTGCATTCTGACCCTGGACACAAACGCCTGGACAAAACTCGAGAACTTTGAACCCCACCGTACCATAAACCCTGGATCCAAAGCGTGAGCCCGAGAGACCAACCGCCCACGGAAATCATCACGGAACGCAAGACCGCGAACCTTCAAACCTGGCCGCCCGACGGCTTCGACCCAGCCTCTGCCGCCCACTTTTTCAATATCCACTCTGCCCCGTTCAGTGTAGACACTGATTGGAGAACCACTCAGTCTGATCACTGCCTGTTCCATAGTAGCTCTCCCTTGATCTTTATAATCGATGTGTGTATGTGTTTGAATGTGTAAAGACTGTGGAAACGAATTTGGACTCGTTCGGTTAGCGCGAAAACGCCTGACCCAGAAAAAGAAACATAGAAAAATGGAAAAACACCATTCAATAAGTCGGAGAAGTGGAAAAGCACAAGAGAAGTGGAAAAGCGGAAAAAGGGGAAAGTGTGAACACACTTGGAAAAATGGGAAAGCGAGAAAGTGGGAAAAGTGCGGCGGCAATTGGAAAAGGGGAACATGAAAAAGTGGAACACGCCAGGAAAAAACAGAAAAGTGAAAAAAAAAAAAAAAAATGGAAAAAAGAAAAATTAAACATTATCCACTTTTATACTTGCCCGTTTTTCCACTTCCACACGTTTCCAATTATTTGTCCAATTAATTCTCCATTTGCCCTCCGCCCACTCCTCCTGCTCCTCCTCCTCCTCCTCCTCCTCCCTCGTCCCAATCCCCTTCGTTCTTCCACAACAAATGTTTATGCTTCCTTTTCCTCAAGATCCGGCTCAGCCTTCCAACCCGCGCTCCAAAACCTTGATGTACTTCAAACAACCTTTTTGCCCCCGAAAGGTCCGTTGAAAGACGTGCCCATATTGGCCCCGTCCTCCTCCACCTCCTCTTCCAATTCCTCCCCTCCTCGCACTCGTACCCCCACTGCTCCACATCCTCCCCTCTTTTTCTTCCTGCCCTCCTCCCCCTCCTGCTCCTCCTCGTTCTCCCTCCACTCGAACAGCAGGTCCGGCAGCCCCTTTTCACTCTGCCATGCTGCCGCCACTCGCGGGCCCAAAGGCCTAGCTAGCGCCCGCGCCCGTGTACTTTCCATAAATATCCTCCCTCGTCCCAATCCCCTTCGTTCTTCCACAACAAATGTTTATGTTTCCTTTTACCGCTTCGCCTAAAGATCCGGCTCAGCCTTCCAACCCGCGCGCCAAAACCTTGAGGCTGATGTATCTCAACCAACCTTTGTGCCCCCAAAAGGTTGGTTAACATACACGCCCATATTGGCCCCTTCCTCCTCCACCTCCTCTTCCAATTCCTCCCCTCCTCGCACTCGTACCCCTACTGATCCACGTCCTGCCATCATTTTCTTCCTGCCCTCCTCCGATTCTCCTGCTCCTCATCGTTCTCCCTCCACTCGAACGGCAGGTCAGGGAGCCCCTTTTCACTGCGCCATGCTGCCGCCATTTTCACCTCGCCTCACAGGCTCCTCTCCCCTCCCCTGGACAAAGAGCGCGGTGACTACACGAACTACATCTTCATCGCTATACAAATATATAGTAGGAGCAACGATGCCGACAACGGGCGAAGACGGAAGGGGACGTGAGACCCCAGGCGGATCACCGCCCGGCGGCAGTCCCATAGTGGAGGACGACGACGTGAGGACCCTACCAGATAAATCCTTGTCGCCATAGGTGCCACGCCCCCCCCCGGATCTCCCGCGACGGCGATGACAGTGACGACCCCACTCCATGAGGGGGAAATCCGGGGGAGCACCGCCTCGTCGCCACGGCCTGCGGGCCTTCGATGGTTGAGTAGCGTCTTGAGCTCACCATCCTTCTTTCACGGGTTGACCCTCCGGGGCTCCCGTCTTCACCAAAATGCCGGCTCGGACCCGGCTGTTTTTCCCTTCAAGAATGAGGAGGTACATTATATATACACATATATATAGATATTGAAACCTGCGCCAGACCCAGTACAGTGCAAGCACGCACTTCGACGAGATCGTCGATTCTGTGCTCATTTACAAGCAGGAAATGCTCGCAACTATTCAGACATGGGTTGCGAGGCTCAACCCGCGCACTGCGAGCGCGTAGGTCGACGAGACCACCGTTGCGGCGACGCTGAACCAAAATTTCGAAGTCTCCGCGAATCCAGATACGTCCCGCGTGACGTCCGAGGCTCGGGACTTCGAAGGTACGGCGATCCAGCACGTGGTGGACGTTTCGTCAGAGAGCGACCTGATCGTCCATGCCAAAGATGCTGGACCTGGGAATTTCGACGGCACGGTTCTCCAGCACGTGACGGACGTTTCGTCGGCGAGCGATCTGGCCGTCCATACCGAAGGTGATGGAGCTCAGGATGTCGCTAAGCAAATAAGAAATGTATACGTTTCTTTTTACGGTTTCGCCTCAAGATCCGGCTCATCTTTCCAACCCGTGCGCCAAAACCTTGATGTATTTCAAACAACTTTTTTGCCCCCGAAAGGTCCGTTGAAAGACGTGCCCATATTGGCCCCGTCCTCCTCCACCTCCTCTTCCAATTCCTCCCCTCCTCGCACTCGTACCCCCACTGCTCCACATCCTCCCCTCTTTTTCTTCCTGCCCTCCTCCCCCTCCTCCTGCTCCTCCTCGTCCTCCCTCGTCACACTCCTCTTCGTTCTTCTACAAACATGCTGATGTTTCCGTTTACCATTTCGCCTCATGATCTGGATCCGCTTTCCAATCCGCGCGCCAATACTTTGATGTATTTCAACCAACCTTTTTGCCCCCAAAAGGTTTGTTAGAATACGTGCCCGTTTTCGGCACCCTCCTCCTCATCCACCTCCTCCTCGTCCAGCTCCCCATCCCCCCTCGCGTTCGTACTCGTGCCCTTACTGCTCCGCCTCCACCTGCCCTCATTCCTTCATGTCCTACTTTTCCTCCTTCTTCTTCTCCCTCGTCACCCTCCAATTCGGTCTTCCACAAGATATGTGCGCGTTCCTACTTTTCCGTCGTCTTCAAGTTCCGATTCACCATTCTAATCATCGCCCCAAGCACCTCGCGCCGTTTCAGCCAACTTTTTTGCTCCCAGAAGGTTGGTCGAAATACACGCCTTTTTTCGGCCCCCTCCTCCTCGTCCACCTCCTCCTCGTCCAACTCGTCATCCTTCTGGCGTTCCGACTCGTACTTTTACTGCCCCCTCCACCCGCCCTTTTTCCTTCATGTCCAATGTTTCCTCCTTCTTCTCCCTCGGCAACTTCACCTTCATTCGTTCACAACATATGATTGCGTTCCCTCGTGTCCGTCCTGTTCAAGTTCAAAATAAACTTTCCAACCATCGGGCCAAAAACCTCGCGATATTTCAACCGACCTAATTGCTCTCAAAAAGTTGGTTGAAATACGTGCCCTTTTTCGGCCGCCTCCTCCTCGTCCACCTCCTCCTCGTCCAACTCCTCATCCGTCTCGCGCGCCTA